AGTAGGAGATTGAGTTTGACCTTCTGGAAGGATTGATTTGTCGATACACTGAACAATGACATGAAGGTCGGACATTGTCATGTCTCTGATTCGTTGTGGGGAGAGAATATGATGTTGTGCATATTTGCGTAACATTCCAGCAGTATGGGGACGCCAAGTATCAGTATCTTGTGTCCATTTGTGTTGTGTTGTTTAATGCTGCACTCAACAATATTCCATTTCTTTGACGTCAGTCTGTAAATAATCGAGTCAGCGATCCCGTTTGTCACCACTTACAACAAGCATAGCTGCCTCTTATGACAAGCATAGTTGCCTCTTACAACAAGCATAGTTGCTTAGACCCAGCTTCAGAAACTTAACATTTTTAGTCCAAAACCCTTAAAATGGCAAATTTCTACCAGTTCTTATGATACCTTAACTATTGGGCAGTTTGGCAAGGACTCTTCAGGGTTAGAAACAAACAGTTTTGTCCACTAGTCCTTATAATGATAACGTATAGCAAAACCCTTAAAATTAGGATACCTGCAAATTTCTAACGCTGCTGTAGGACTAGTGCCAATTTCTAAAGCTGAAGATCTATTCTAACCTGGATCTTCACGGGTTTTGTGTCCATTGAACACTTTGGGATGTGAACTTTGGGTTTTGGAATCAAGCTACGCTTTGAACAATGCTGCTCTGTCCTGTTTGTTGTGACCAATACATGTACATGATTACAGCAACTGCATTGTTTAAGTAAGTCGGAGGCTGAAGTGTAATTTACCTACTTCAATCTGTTACTCAAGCCACTAGTTCGAAGCCAGTGTCTTGGATAAAATAACCATAGTTTTGCTGGTACATTTATCAATTCCATTGTGTTTGTTCAGTTTCCTTATTTCTCACATGCTTCATAAATCAAAGATGGTCACCAAGGACTTTTGTAAAAATGTGTGTTTTCTAAGTGTGCCCCGAAGGCAATGCCATTATGATTTTATCCCCATGAAGATTCGGGGAAGAACAGGTCTTCAGCAACCAATGCTTGTCGTAAATGGCGGCTATGCTTGACGGAAGAGGCGACTAACAGGATCGGGTGGTCAGGTGGTCAGGTGGTTGTTGCATGTCATGGTTTCCAAATTTCGTGGATCGATGCTCATCATATCAGTCACTGGATTGTCTGGTTTAGACTTGATTATTTACAGACCGCTATCAAATAGCTGGAATATTGCTAAGTGCGTGTTAAACGACAAACAAACTAAACTAAACTAAACTAAACTAAACTAAACTAAACTAAACTAAACTAACATTATGATTTTACCCGTATCCTTGGCTCTTTAAGTTTAGTACAGGGAATATTGAACCCGAGAGAGTGTTGTGTAGCAGATGGTTTGTATGAAAGAGTAATTAAAATGAAATAATTAAATCTTCTTTACTCACTCATTGGAACATTATTCATTAAAAAGATAATTGACACTATTCCAGGCATACAAATTGGTGTTAGTCTGCTAGCCTGAGTCTGGTTGTGCTGTGTAAAAGGCTAGTAGAATGTCAGTATGCAGGATAATGATGATAATACTTGGATATTTGTAATATGCTATAATTCATCCATTGAGGCATGCTGACAACATTACCACCATTATTACCATGGATATCAATGGATTAGCGCACACTCGATTTTCATTCTCAGCTCCCTGGGGGGTGATAGAAGGTTAACATCTCCTCCTATGGGGTACCCTTATAAGTGATAAGTTGTTGTCACTTTTTAGGCCAGTAAATGTTTCAAATTAATGTACAGTTCTGATATTCACGGATGTTTTGCTTAAACTTAAAATAGAATGTAAATGTAGTATAACAAGCTACACATTATGTAGCTATTTCTCTTATGAAAGGTTGAAATATCCAGAATGCTGAGTTGTGGTAGTAAATCAGGTCGTCTTCAACAAGTTAAAGCATGAGGAAAACGTAATGATGACAGAAAATGAATTCGGAACTTTTCATTAAAAATGACAATCTGTGCTTCATAGTCAAGACCAAGTAATTTGAAATATTTGAATACGATTTCTGAAACGGTTTTGTTGTCTGAGTTATCATTGAGGTGGTTAATATAGCAGCTGTGTTATCGAATGCCTGAGTCACTTACCAGTGGAGTATTATCGTGATATACATACCTACATGCTTACATCATCTATAATGCTGTGCCGCAGGGAAACAGATGCAGCTGACATCAATCACTTGGGACTTTTTAATCTGTGTTTTACCCTCCTTTAATTCATTGATAGTGGGGCACGGGTGGCCCAGTCGTCCAAGGCGCCGCGATTCGCTGTGCAGATTTGCGTCCCCTGGGCACGCCAGAAACCTATGATTGTGGGTTCCCGGTTTGCCCCGATAATGTTTCTAGGTTTGTCAGCACCATACCCGTGCTTGTGGGTTTCACGGAAGTTGTAAACGTCTGAGACCTGCATCACTTCAGGCTTTCCTCCCACATTAAGCTGACACGCTGTGATATAACTGGAATACAATTAAAAGCGGAGTTAAACCCAACTCACTCACTCACTAATTCATTGATATACTGATTGGACAGACATGAAGTAATACCTGGAACTAATTAAGGCATATCTAGCGATAGAAACTAACAGTTTAAGTCCACTAGTCCTTGTAATGATAAAATATATCAAAACCCTTAAAAAGGGTAAATTTCTACTTGTCCTTATGATACCTTAACTAATGGGCAGATTGGCAAGGACTCAAGGAGAACCAATTTCTAACACTGCATTATTTATTGAATTTTGGGGTTGCCTTAGGCACTGCAATTCGGGGGCTTAGTCATGCGAGAAAGTATGATCATGGGTTCAAATCCTTCATTTACCTTGATTATGTTTTGAAGTTTGACAGCACCATACCCTTGCTCAAGAGTCATGGGATCTACCTAAATGGTTAACGTCTAACACCTGTTGTGATATAACTGAAATACTGTTCAAAGCAGTATGAAACCAAACTCACTCACTCACTCTTGAATGTTGCTGTGTTAGTTTCAAACCCTCCTCTCTACAATGACTACAAGGAGTAATGTGCATACACACTCTCTATCCGCCCCATTACAGAATTTCTGTTAGTTATTCATCAAATCCAAGAGATGGTTAAGCTGCAACAAGGCCAATCATGGGATTCCATTTTATTTTTAGACCTGCGTCATCTGATTCAATTTTAGGATATTAAAATTCCAGGTCTATTGATTAAATTGCGATGCTTGAAATAAACCTCAATCTTAAATACAAATTTCCTTCGGGTACTCGAGTGGCGATGTGAACACTGTTAAGTGAAATGTTCATTTGCTGGTTAAATCAATATAGATCTGAAAAGAGATCGATCCACTTGGTGCTCCATTGGATGCCTATTTGAGAAATTGATTCATAGACGTTATTGTTGTCTTTATTTAGATTTTCATGTATCGTTTCTGTTGTCATGCCAACATGTGTTGTTGTTTCTGTCGGTTCATGCCCTTTTGTGTGGATGGGGAAGTTGTTTTTTCCTATTTAATGTTTGATGGTAAGAGGTCACCATGAGATAAGGTGAATTGAAATTTGCGTCATGGAGAAACCTGTTTTTGTGGAGCTGTGAAAATGTTAACTTTATTGTTAATGAAAAATGTTTTGGGGGCAGTTTTTAACAAAAGCTTTTCAATGTTGGTTACGTCATGTGTGAAAATAATTTTATGGCAAACTAAAAGTGATAAACAATGATAAAAAGACGATAATGTTCTGTGTTATTTGAACAAAAATGTTTCTCTGAAATTTATTCTGTTAAAGGGAAACATGGATCCACCTCTATGGGAAAATATGGATTGATATTTTAATATTTTATTTTTGATTCACTAATGAGAGGATTTAATTGATTTTATTCCCCTTGCAGACCAATATGATTACTTAATCATCAAAGTGTTTCTAACAAATGGCAATCTTTTAAAAAAGGAGAGTATGTGACCATATACTGGACCTCATGGTGATCCCGCGAATCTGTGAGTCCATCACTGACTTTCATTGTTCACATGTGTTACACACTTTGGTGAGATATTTCCAGAATGTGTGATGGAGACACCGGAATACCTTGATGTGGTAATATCAGGTCTATTGGGCTTGAATAGATAATAATTGATGGTGCCAGACAACGTGTCAGATATCTCTGTTTTAGAACACACTAAGTAAGAAGACATCTGTTTGTCTGTTACAGTATCTTTGAAGCCAACAGAATTCATGAATAGATCAGGACAAGGTCTTTGTTTAAATGACTGCAGTAGCCTGGCAGGACATTTTTACAGTCTCAAGCTGGATGTCATATATTATCTTGGAGTTTATTTTGATATTAGTACATGTACTAGTGTTGATGCATTTATTTTGGCAATTTGCATTGTAATCAATTACACGCAGGTAACACAATACAAAAAAGGCATAACATATTTACAATTACACACAGTTTATCAAATTCAGATACCTAAATGAAGACAGATATTCACTAGAAGATATATATCAAAAGATGCCTTAGTTTGTACAGATACGAGGCAAATTGTAGTATAATAGCATCCCAGATGTGGCTAAAATACTGCTGCTATAACGTTAAATACTTCTTACTTAGTGTGTTCTAAACCATCCCTATTTTTGTGAAATACATGAAAGACTGAAACTTTTAATCTGTATCAATTATGAATATTGTGGCAGGAATAATCCTGTAAGTATATTTCACACAACTGGTTGTACCTTTACAACTTGTATAATGAGAACCATGTAAAATTTATATTGTTGGTCCTTGCTGAGAATGTTGTTCGCATACCGGTAATCATCTGGTGAAATCTGGTGAGTTATGTTCCCTGACAGCTGTGTACAGACTGCAGTCGCATGTAGCTCTAAATTTGCCACATTGTTTCTAATACAGATTGTTTACAAAAGTATCGTGTCATTTGATCCTGATGCTTTTCTGATATGATTATTTATAGTAAATTTTGTTGTTAATGACTTTTTCTTGTTTTTCTGCAGGGTCGTCGACGGTGTCGCTGAAGAAACCACGCAGCAGCCGTGGTCTACTGAGTTCATTCTTCTGTTGTTTCGGGACTAACAACAACAATAACAACAACAATGCCCAGAACCACTGTCAAGTGCCTCAATCACCCGAAAATGGCAACCCTAAGGTACATAGTCACGTTTAAACACTGCCCAGAACCACTGTCAAGTGCCTCAATCACCCGAAAATGGCAACCCTAAGGTACATAGTCACGTTTAAACACTGCCCAGAACCACTGTCAAGTGCCTCAATCACCGGAAAATGGCAACCCTAAGGTACATAGTCACGTTTAAACACTGCCCAGAACCACTGTCAAGTGCCTCAATCACCGGAAAATGGCAACCCTAAGGTACATAGTCACGTTTAAACACTGCCCGGGTAGAATAGCTCCCCAGTGCCTCAATCACCGGAAAATGGCAACCCTAAGGTACATAGTCACGTTTAAACACTGCCCAGAACCACTGTCAAGTGCCTCAATCACCCGAAAATGGCAACCCTAAGGTACATAGTCACGTTTAAACACTGCCCAGAACCACTGTCAAGTGCCTCAATCACCGGAAAATGGCAACCCTAAGGTACATAGTCACGTTTAAACACTGCCCGGGTAGAATAGCTCCCCAGTGCCTCAATCACCGGAAAATGGCAACCCTAAGGTACATAGTCACGTTTAAACACTGCCCGGGTAGAATAGCTCCCCAGTGCCTCAATCACCCGAAAATGGCAACCCTAAGGTACATAGTCACGTTTAAACACTGCCCAGAACCACTGTCAAGTGCCTCAATCACCCGAAAATGGCAACCCTAAGGTACATAGTCACGTTTAAACACTGCCCAGAACCACTGTCAAGTGCCTCAATCACCGGAAAATGGCAACCCTAAGGTACATAGTCACGTTTAAACACTGCCCGGGTAGAATAGCTCCCCAGTGCCTAAATCACCGGAAAATGGCAACCCTAAGGTACATAGTCACGTTTAAACACTGCCCGGGTAGAATAGCTCCCCAGTGCCTCAATCACCCGAAAATGGCAACCCTAAGGTACATAGTCACGTTTAAACACTGCCCAGAACCACTGTCAAGTGCCTCAATCACCGGAAAATGGCAACCCTAAGGTACATAGTCGCATTTAAACACTGCCCGGGTAGAATAGCTCCCCAGTGCCTCAATCACCGGAAAATGGCAACCCTAAGGTACATAGTCGCATTTAAACACTGCCCGGGTAGAATAGCTCCCCAGTGCCTCAATCACCGGAAAATGGCAACCCTAAGGTACATAGTCACGTTTAAACACTGCCCGGGTAGAATAGCTCCCCAGTGCCTCAGTCACCGGAAAATGGCAACCCTAAGGTACATAGTCACGTTTAAACACTGCCCGGGTGGAATAGCTCCCCAGTGCCTCAATCACCGGAAAATGGCAACCCTAAGGTACATAGTCACATTTAAGCACAGCCATGGTAGAATAGCCTGTTCAGCCTGGATGAAACAATGTAACTCCCTTGCATTGTGACATCAATACTAACCAGGCAATATGCAGGGAATCAACTCCCTTGTACTGCTTTATCCTAATGGGGGCGGTCAGTAGTCTAGTGGTTAAAGCGTTCGCTCGTCTTGCCGAAACCCTAGTTTGATTCCCGACATGGGTACAATGTGTGAAGGCCATTTCTGGTGTCCCCCGCCGTGATATTCACTCATCCTAATGATTGGGCACATCATATTAGACAACAGCTGGTTTGTGTTGTTACTACTGTCTTCGTCGGTACAGGGGCGGTGGGGTAGCCAAGTGGGTTTAAATTGTTCGCTCGTCACTCTGAAGGCCTGCGTTGGATTCCCTAAATAGACCAGTGCTTGACTCTAACACTGGTCTGCTGGTCCAAGTCTAGTATATATTTTTTAGGACCAGTAAAATTAAAAAAGTGGTGATCCGGTAGTCTCATGTTATTTTGGGGAGGAACAAGGTAATTTAGGTTTGTATTACTTTTAAGTCAGCGATGGATCAAGCCTAAACTCTAAGCACCATTGTGTCTAGTAGAGATCCGACAGGAACAGTAGATTTGTGTGGGTCAGTGTCAAGCACTGATGGGTACATTGTGTAAAGCCCATTTCTGGTGTCCCCTGCCATGATATTGCTGGAATATTGCAAAATATGGCGTAGAATCCAACTCACTCTCTCACTCACTTTATTTGTACAAGTCCCATAGTGTAGCACAGAACACCCACTGATGCGTCCTGGTGACTGTGGCTGCATGCTGTAAGGTTATTGACTATTCTGCATTAAACATGATATACCTGCCATGGCAAGGGACGGATCAATATTAATGTAAAATCAATGTGATGATTTGATAACCAGTTACCATTATTCAATCAATTTGATAAGAAAGAAGAGGACATTTGAATACATTTTCTATTGTCTACCTTGGACAAACATATTAGTGTAAGATGTTTTCTATGTTAAACTCATTAGGGGCTATTGTGAAGGTTCTACCACTTACACTTACGCTAAAATTCAGGCAGGAAGGTGTATTACTGTCTTTAATCAGACCTCCAGATACACTGAGTATTTGCGTAAAATACGAAAATAAACACACCATTCCCAAATTAATTTTGAGTTGAACCACACTCAGTAACACTCGACGTAATTACCTTATGTATCCTTTTCGACTTGCGTAACTATATGTCCTTACAGATATTTTTTTTCTGATTGAATGCAGGCATCAAACATACATGAACTCTACTGCTGTGAATAATGCATAAAAAAGCACAATGCCTCCCTATTGTTAATAAGCCATGTATATCACTGTTGTGGGCTTATGCAGCAAGTTCCACACTTGGAGCAGCTCATGAACAGAAACAAAACATTATTATTTTAAAAATGTCTAATATTTGGTGTAAATATACCTACCAGACTGGCCCCAAGGGAATAAATTTATGTTGAATTCCCGTAAATTTAATCAATACCCAATGTGAATGATAACTTCTGAGTAAATGCTCAATGGCTCAAAAACTTATGTGGAGCCATTTTTAATATTCCAATGTTTGTCATCTTACGCAAACTGAGTCGATTTGTTTGTTTGTTGTTTAACTCGGCACTCGGTAATATTCCAGCTATAAGCGGGGGTCTGTAAATAATCGAGTCTGAACCAGACAATCAAGTGATTGACACAGTGAGCATTGATCCACGCAATTGTGATATGATGACATGCATGAACCAAGTCAGCAAACCTGCCTACCCAATCCCGTTGAGTCTGTACCAGACAATTCAGCGATTGATATCATGAGCATCGATCCAGGAACATTTCTAATGTTAACATGTCATAGGATGATCAGGTCATGTAAGGCCTTCTCAACCACAGGGGGCATGGGTGGCCCAGTCGTCTAAGGCGCCGCGATTCGCTGTGCAGAGTCGTGTCCCTTGGGCACGCCAGAAACCTATGATTGTAGGTTAGAATCCCGGTTCGCCCTGATTATGTTTCTAGGTTTGTCAGCACCATACTCATGAGTTTCACCGAAGTGGTAAACATCTGAGACCTGCATCACTTTGGGCTTTCCTCCCACATTAAGCCAACATGCGTGATATAACTAGAATACTGTTAAAAGCAGCATTTAACTCAACTCAACTTGTGTACAATATTGTGTTTGTTTAAGCAATATACATCCGTACATTCGTTTACTTCAAAATATATAATAAACCATTTATAAAAATATTATATGAATTTCCATGTGATTTGACATAAATAAGAGTATCATGTTACATATTGTATCGTGACCTATGTATCATCATTGTGACCTTGCTGTTATGTTTCACCCCTAAGAAACAACAGTTTCTGTTTGGCCTTTGTGTATATTTATTTGGTATTTGTTTCAGCCTATTGAGAAGTACTTGTTACCTCCTGTGCGGAACATGGACACGAGCAAGAAATGCGTTGTGATTGACTTAGATGAAACTCTGGTGCATAGCTCATTTAAAGTAAGTTGGACTGATTCATTGGTTCATTAGTGCAAGGATATGAATAACTGTGCACTAGGTTGTTATAACATGTTATCGCATCCACATTACACTTAGCTGTGCAGAGTTCCGTTCCTTTGGCACACTAGTGATTGTGGGTTTGAATCCTGCTTTGCCCCAAATATGTTTCTAGGTTTGTCAGCACCATACCCTTGTTTGAGGGCTTAACCAAAGAGGTTAACATCTGAGACCTGCATCATTTCTGGCTTTCCTCCCACATTAAGCCGACATGTGTGATATAACTAGAATACTGTTAAAAGGAGCATTTAACTCAACTTGTGCACAATATCATGTTTGTTTAGCAATATACATCCGTACATTCAGCATTCGTTTACTTCAAAAAATATAATAAACAATTTATAAAAAGAATGAGCACTGTAATAAATATTGTCTTTTGTCCAATTTCACATTTAATATTTCCATTTACATAATTCCCAGTCCAGATGTGAAACAGCATTGTGATAATCGTTCATTGGTTTCTTGTTGGCAAGAAGATGCCTCTTCTCCCTCTCAAGGGCATAGTGAAGGTTTCGATACCTCTTCTTCTTGGGTGGCATCAAACTACCCGGATTGTGATCGCAGTATTATTCTGAATGAATTTGTACATATTTGGATGCCACCCCTCGAGATGCTTTGTGGCGTCGTCCTACTGCTCAGAGACATATAATTATGTTTCATGACAGTCATCTTTGATGTTAATGATGGCTGGTTGAATGTAAGTTTGACGTCAGGTTTTAATCATGAACTTGCAGCCGACAAAAACCAATATCTTAGATCCCTCCTAGAATTTGGAATGTACTGTAAATCAGCCAGCGCATTTGGCACAGTGGAATACTGTTTCTTGCCTGTAATTTCATTTCTGGCCCAAATCACACTAAATGATTAATATTAGGGCTGGGACGGGTAACTCGGGTACCTGGGTCGGGTGGGTACTGAGTAGGACCCGGGTACCCACAGGACTACCCGGACCCGTGGTTAGTCATGTGATGTATTGTTTAATGGCAAATATTATCTAGAACTCTATGGTTACACTACAAGTCACTAATGTTCGCATTTCTTTCTGACTATACAACCATTCCTTCTGACTTTTCATATGGTTGAATAAAGACATAGCTTAATTCAACTTCAGTGTATGAATGACCTGATTGTTTAATACATGTATCTAAATACGTTTTACCTGGTCTATCCTAAAAATGTTCCCAATTGGACATTTTGAGACATCTCCTGAGACCTACAGTGGGTACCCGGGTAGGGTCGGGTAATAGTGGGGCGGGTACCCGGGTAGTAAATTTGGACTCATCCCAGCCCTAATTAACATGTTCACTCACTCATTGATATATATGTAAACGTTTTTCCTCAGTACAGTGTATGTGAAAAGAGTTCACCAAGTATTTGTGTCGTTATAATTTGTGAGATATTCACCAATTACTTGTCTTATGTGACATGTGCCCCTCACTCCCCTATTGTCTTACCTGTCACCACGCTTGGAGGAATTTGTACCCGTAACAATAGGTGCGGGACATGTAGGTAGCCCCCTAATAGACCACCAGGCTGACTGGGTGCCGGCCTGATCCTTCAAATTGTGCAGCGGGATCCGGTTTTAACCCCACCAAGGGGAATCCCCTCACTGTACGCTATTTTACATTTTGGGGACGATGTCGAGTGGAGTTTTTTAATCGTCCTTTTTACAGTTTCTGATTTTCAAATTTAATTTTGGTCAAGCTTTTGTGATTAAGTATGCTCTGAAGTATTAAAATCTGTAATGTTGGTTTGTTGACTCTATAATGTTATTGAAAATTAAATTTAATTTGATTAAAGTCTAGCTTTTCACCTGACTTGATGTCTACATTATTTATGCATAAATCTTGACACAGGGAGTCACAAAAATACATTTGAGACAAAAGTTCTTTTTTTTAAACAGAAACCAATCTAAGAGTTACTTCCCTTGACAATAGTTAAACAATGTTGTTTTGACTGTCACATAATGTAAACAAGGCCCCATTGTCGCCCATCTCACCTAAAACAACCTAGTTGTGTGGCGTCAGTTGTGAAGTGTGTGACCCTTGTGGCTATTTGCTAGCTTGTCCTATGAAAAACGATTTGAGTTTTGAAAAACTGTTCTTTTCATTTTCAAAAAAATATTAGAAGCTTTAAAATTTTCAATTTATTTACTTTGAAATCAATGGCAATCTGGCAAAGGGAATAAAGTAAAATGATCTGCCCTAATACAGATGGAACAGACCCGTGAAGTTCCGGGATAGAAAAGGTCTTCAGCAACCCATGCTTGCCGTAAAAGGTTACTATACTTGTCATAAGAGGCAACAAACGGGATCGGGTGGTCAGGCTTGCTGACTTGGTTAATGCGTGTCATTGATCCCAAGTGCATTGATCAAAGCTCATGATATCAATAACTGGATTGTCTGTCCAGACTCGATTATTTACAGACTGCCGTCATATAGCTGGAATATTGCTGAGTGCGACGTTAAACAACAAACAAACAAACAAACAAATAGACGGAACACATGATAATGGTTCCTACCTTTTTTCAGCCAATCAGCAATGCAGACTTCATAGTTCCTGTGGAGATAGATGGCACAATACACCAGGTAGGTATTCACAACATGTGGCTGCGTGGTTCAAGTGTTCTCTTGTCATGCTGAGGATTTGGGTTTGATTCTCAACAGGGGTACTGATTAATAAGTTTCCAGAAATGTTGTTGCTACATTGTTTCCAAGAGTGCAGTGTGTTGACAACATGTACTACTCAAAACAAGTCAAAGAACACCCACAATTGGAAGGCTGTGTGTTGCAATACCCACCAGCGATGACAGATTAACTGTAAGAGCATAAAAGGATCGAGTGTTCTCTAACTTCTTTTGAGTAGTATATTTGCACAGATTTCAAAATGTGGAGGTTATAAGTCATTGACAAATGGAAACAGCTGTGATTTTCTGAAGTAATTTGTGAATAATTTTTGCTTACTGTTTGATCACTACGGGAGTTAAGATATGTAAATTGCTAGTATACTAGTGTCGGGGAATTCTTTATACATAAGCAGTATTTGAAATTTAGGGTGTGAGTGGGGGCCTATGGAAAGGGTATTTGAATCTTGGGAATTCTATGGAACTTTAACATAGGTAATGACAAGGACTCTTGCACGGATGCAATTTAAACTGAAATATTCATTGGCCTGTGTAAGAAAACCCGAAATTCTGGTAGTCCTTGGGTGCTTTAATATGAGACAAACTGGTGCCACTTTGTATCCCTGCCATGTCTTTTGTGCTTACTTTTGACACTCTAAAGATGCTGGTGTGTATCTGACTGCTTCGTGTTTCAGGTGTACGTGCTAAAACGTCCATATGTAGATGAATTCTTGCAAAAGATGGGAGAGATGTTTGAGTGTGTGCTGTTCACAGCTAGTTTAGCAAAGGTAAGAACTGTGTGTTGTCCCTTTACCATGACCTTTTGCTTCTTTGAGTGGCATTTAGAAGTTGGAATGGTAACTAAGACAAAATTGTTATGGATGAGCAACTTCTTTATGACAATTGGGCGACGTTTCAGTGTAGATTCCAACATTTGCTGGATAACGGTGTTAGAATCTACACCGAAACGTCGCCCAATTGTCATAAAGAAGTTGCTCATCCATAACAATTTTGTCTTAGTTAACTTTGTGTTGGCTGAAAGCGAATCTTGGTACAGGTGAGAACGAAGCTGTTCACTGTATCTGCTTCTAAACCAACCACTCACTTGCAATGCTTTCCACATGTCTACCATGAAGTTTCTTATTAATTTTTTTAAGGACCGGGGGAACAAAGAATATTTTTGAAATTCAAATTATATTCCATAATTGCGAAATTTTGGGTTGAGAGATTGTTTGGTAGTTAATATATCAAATGCTATAAACTTGTATAAACTTGACATGCTTAAAAAAGCACAGATAATGTTAGCCTTGTTCAGAAAAATTACGAACAAATTTAAGTGCTCTAATATCATCTGATGATATCCTGCCCCATTGGTGGAACCTGTCACAAACACATGCAAGGGCAAAAAGAGGGATTATTTGATTCAAGTCAAAATAGTGATTGCATTGTACATCATTTTTGTCACTGATGCACCAAATTTGAAAATGTCCACCACATGTCTATGTTTTGTAATGTTTTCAGTATGCTGACCCAGTGGCCGACCTCCTAGACAAATGGGGGGTGTTCAAAACACGCCTCTTCAGGGAATCTTGTGTCTTTCATAGAGGAAACTATGTCAAGGTAGGTTGTTGATTCAGTAAGGGCGGTCGGGTAGCCTAGTGGTTAAAGCGTTTCTCGTCATGCCAAAGACCTGGGTTCGATTTCCGACATGGGTACGATGTGTGAAGCCCATTTCTGGTGTCCCCCGCCATGACATTGCTGGAATATTGCTAAAAGCGGCGTAAAACCGTACTCACTCACTCGCTCACTGTTGATTCAATATCACCCCGGGGGAATTCTGGGTCCTCAACAAGCTCAACTAGTGTTGACACTAGCATTAATACACTAGTGGAAGGGAGATAATCCATTGACGGTTGGATAATTTTAAGTGAATCAACTCAGTCATGCAAAGTATCACAGTTTTCCTTGTTTTCTTTTAGTATTATGGTTATTATTATGATTATTATTATTAATCATGTCTTAATTCAGACTGATTGAAACCTTTGCTTGTGTTTAGGATCTGAGTCGGTTGGGTCGAGACCTCCACCAAGTTGTGATCGTCGACAACTCTCCTGCTTCCTACATCTTCCATCCAGACAATGCAGTAAGTCACACACCTTCTTCTCCAGGCACAACCAGTTAACATATTTAATGTCGTTCACAGGTAATACTTGCGACTCTAAAATGTTCACAGCCTCATTTAGGTACTTGCATTTGGTATGTTTATGTATTCAATGCAGGTGATATTCCTAATTTTTAGACTTATCCTATCTCACACTATGCATTTCTTCCTCTTCTTTCAATCCTATGTGGAAAAGTGCTTGAATATAGTTTCCAACTTCTAAAGGACAATTCATCCGAACACATCCCAACATCACCATGGTCACCACCCACAAATTATGTTGTGATTGCCATGGCCGGTGTAGTGTTGAAAAGCGTTGTTCAAAGTGTTGACATGTGATGGAAGATTTCTTCAACATGTATTTACACAAGTGCCATAGAAAAGAGATTGACTGGCGCTTGAAATCAAAAGGCTTGGACAAGAACAAGACATCTTGTCTAAGAAAACAAGGAAGACAACCAAGCTTGCTGTCCCCTCCTCCCTAACAGTGAAACCACCTCTGGAATCTGACTTGCCTGCTCTATCAGTGGCAGATGGAGTTTCTTCTGTAGATTAATCCGAACCTGCCTCAACTACGCCTCTGATCGACCCTCTTAGCACTCCTAGACTGCCTGCTACCAGTCATCTTTGGTCTCCCGCGATGTTCAAAATTGCCTGAGTAAGGATCAGTCTCTCGCTTCTCCCAAGAGTCACTTTTCCGAGAAAAGTCGATCGCACAATTTGCACTCAAAGGAAATTGATCACTAAGGATTGCTCATCTGAGGGTCACTCACTGCAGGATTGACTGTCTCAGAAAAGTTGGTCTGGTTCGCCGGATCGCTCTGGGGATCGCCGGTCAAAGGATCGCCGATTTGGGGATCAACCTTTTAGCGATCGACGCTCTAGCAAGAACACTGCTGATTCTTCCAGTACCACTCCTGTTCGACATGACTTGACAGAGGATGGTTCCTATACAGATTCGGCCAAATATTCTATTTTGGGTTGCTCCCAGTCCAGTTACAAGGATCGACATCTTCAATGGGATCGTTCCTGATCCTACGATTATCATCATCGACCAGATTTGCGTGCTTGGGATCCCTATCAGTACAGTGGTTTTGCAGATCACCCACGTGGCTGGGAGAGCTACCCCTCACACTTGGAATCATGTCCTACCTGGCGTGGTTATCCTTATGCTTCGTCCTTTCCTGACTTCCGTCATGCATTGAATATTACCACCCTCCTCAACGGGATCAACCGTTTGATCGCCATCGCTGTGAAGAGCCTCGACGTCCCTTTCCTTTTCATAGATATTTGTCTCTGTCGCTAACTCGTGTGAATCGCCGTTCTTCGAGACACTTGCGATCGTCATCTCCGCTTTCGGTTTGGGTTCCTCCTACCTCGTCTGTGCCGACCCCTTCCTGTGATGCTCCCTACATCCATCCTGTTACCTACCTCATGGGGCCATCGAGACCAGGCTAACGATCCTGCGCCAAACTTTGAATTGTTCCTGCAGGCAGTGACCTGCCCTCCAAAATCGTTCTGGGCTACTGGTGGTACCTCCTTGATAATTCCACTTCTGTGCTGGCCTTAGTTCAAGAACATTTCATCATAGGATTGAAAGAAGGAAGATACGCATAGTGTGAGATAGGATAAGTATATAAATGTACAATTTTTGGTAAAATTTACAATTTCTCATATACCTATCAATGAGATGAGGCATATTGCTTATGTGAAAGAGCCAACATGGAGTACGTGTCACAGGGGATGTAATAACATTTGAATTTACATTTTGAATGGGCGATTGATTTCGGCCTGGGTGGTAGGAAATTAGAGTCATGTCCCTTAGTGCATCATCGTCTGCTCATCTTACTTTTCTGTGACTATGTCTTCCAAACAAAGTGAAGATGTATTGCATTCACTTGCAAATTAATACATTTTACAATTTGATGTTATGGTTTATGATGGAAAGGTTATTATTTGGCAGTTTTCATGTTATATGAGACTTCCATAACAGCCTGAGGGTCAGTGATGGGGGTTGAGGATTGATTTGGGGTGTGACATGAAAACTACCTTATAATAACCTCTAATTATTCCCAGCAGATGATATTGCTATTTATTCCCCACAGATGATATTACTTTTTTTCCCTGCTGTTTTTGTCTCACAGATGATATTGTAATATCCTGCAGGTGACATTGTGATTTGTTGTCTGCAGGTGCCCGTTGCCTCGTGGTTTGATGACATGTCTGACACTGAGCTGCTGGACCTTCTGCCCTTCTTTGAGAACTTGTCACGAGAGGACAGTGTATACACAGTGCTCAAAAACAACACAAACTCTCCTGCATCCACCCCGCCCTCATAGCGAACTGCCGCCCGGCAACACAATAACTTAACAAAACTCGTTTATGCAAGTTTTTATTATAAATCAGTGAATGAAAAGTGTGTGAATGATCAGGAGCGCCCAAGAGCAAATGTGAAATTGGACACTTGAAAATTTACACATACTTATCTACTCTGCTTAGAAAAAAAACAAGAAAAAAAACAAAAAATGGCGACATGCTCAAATTTTCTGCCTCGCACTCATTGGTTGTGATGTATCACATGACTCATAAACCAGTGTTTGGTTGGTGAATAAAGAGGTTAGTTAAACCAAGAGTGGCCTGTGACAATCGAATCTTAGGTTGAGGAGGAGTTTGTCCAGAGGGAGTGAAAAAAAGAGACACTATTAGTGACAGAGATTCACCCTGCAGCAGTTATATGGCAACCTTGAATCACCTGTTCTGTCGAAGGATGATCAGATTATCCACAATGACAGGGATTAAGTTGGCATCGCTGTGTCGACTGCATCCTTATCCTCGCATCACGTCTGAGCTGGCCCGGGGAAAAAAAACATCACAAGAAACACCATGAGATGAACTACAGAGGTGAAGAATGGTGTACAGACCAAGGGAGACAACTTTGTTGGTGGCAGCTTGCAGGAAAATTTCGGTAATCTGGAGGAAGATAAGGAAAACATGGTTGGCTGTTGTTACAAGGAATATCACTGGCTAATGCTGATGGTCATGTTTTCATTGGCTGATGTATTGTACCTGGACTATTCAACCATGTGTTTGATGCCAAATGTTCGTGTTCAGGTTCAACCATTAACGTAAGGTGCACAACTATTTTAATTTCTAGCTTACAGTTAATTATAGCGCTACAAGTTCAAATCATGTGAGATGATATTCAAGAGAAAAACCTCAGAACACTGTTCTGAATTGAAGAAAAAATGGCAAAAATTGTTTAAAAGTTAAAACGAAACAAACCAAAAAAAAAGAGGCTTTATTCACTTTGGCCGCTGAGCCATCATTCATGTGCAATGAAAGACTTTTAATATGTGAAGTTTTAACCAACTTGAACCGAATGATCTTTATGACTTGTTTTAGTGAAATTGACACTGGTCATGCATATATGTCGTGAAATGTTTATGGCTGGGTTTCTAGGCAACATGTGACACGATGTTCAAGGTGTTCTCATTCTATTCTGTGTGCATGCCCACTCTCTCTATATATTGCCTTGCTCACTGAACTGATGGCTTCATCCACAACAAACACGAAAAACAACATTATCAAACATAGTTGTAAAAAGCAGGAGAAAAATAAGTCTATTGTTTATAAGCAGAAAACAACGTAGTTTTACATGTTAGTAAACATGGATATAAGAACATTTTTACATGTTTATGAATATGGAATGAAAAACATTGTTTTACATGTAGTAAACATGGACAGATCAACAACATTGATTTGCGTGTTTGAACGAATCACAGGCTATTTTTTTTATTTATAACTTGTCAAGAGAATCATAGACATTTATACTTCCCTACCAGGCTGGGATATTAACTTCTTCGGAAATATATCTGATAGAAATAATTTATAACTATGTCACTGATTTGTGTATGCTGTGTCTAATTTTACTAATGAACTGTCAGGGTGCAATTCCATCCCTGAAGATATTGAGAATGTGCATTTTAAGTATCAACTGAATTTGATTAACTTTAATGGTATGTTTTCATTTTTGTTGTGGGCATTGCCATCAAAATGAAAATGGCAGCTATCTTTAAAGTTTGATCAATTGTCTACACAAGCATGTTGAGTTAGAGTTTGTATATGCGCCTATATAGAAGTCATCTACAGATATGTTATGCCGTGGGTTTTAATTCTTACTGTTGGTTTCTTATTATGTAGTAGGAATGGTATTGGTACTGAAATGAACAATGTTTGTGAAGCCGTGGATATATTGTCCAGCAAACATAAGACACCACCCTAAATCATGTGGTCACACCCCTATCCTGGAACTTACAGTTAGGAATGTATCAGTTGGCACACTTACCAAAAACTTACATCCGAATACTGCATCCCTGGGGGTACACTTCGTAGGTGTATTTCAGGCAAATAAAGTAACCTAGTTGTGGGAGAAAACGTGTGGTCCTTCCAGATTTTGACTTGACTCTGGACAACCAGACTGCTGCCACGATGCTCTTGGGATGGTATAACACTGCTGGGTATTGTTGAAGCCAGAAGGTCATAGCTGCGGCTTGTCAGTGGCTAAACATTCATCAGAAACATTTCTCGGCTATCACATGTGATCATTTATCTTAACATATATTTCTTTGATGAGCCTCAATGTACTTAAACAATATAACTTCACTCAAGTTGACAGATCACCAGATTTCTCCCATGGTTATTGGTGGGACATTCATGTTTGGTTTTATGTTGGGAATGAATTTATCCCACGATGGCTTTCAAATTTGAATGTATTATCCTTGGTGCTTATGAACCGTAAGTTTTATTAATGATTTCGTTTGCACCAACATAATTACCTTTGAGTAGATACTGTTATTCACATTTTGTTATTTGCTATAGACCCAAACGAAACTCACTGCAAGATGGTAGGTCATGCTTGCCTCACAAATGTCACTAGATGATGAAAGCATTAATTTTAATACTGTAGCTAAAAGATGATGATGTTGATGATGAATAATGTTTGTTACACGTAATCATGGCATTCACATTATTTTTAGGCATTTTCTTACAGATTTAGAATCTGATCTCTATGACATGCATTACGGTTTTAAATGTTGTTAAGACATATTTTTACTTCAAGAAACCTATTGTTTATGATTAAAACATATGTAGTAGAATTTTATGAGTACGTGTTTATGAATTGTATATAAAATAATCGTTTTAGTTTATTTCAGTTTAAGAATGGTGATGAAATTTTCAATTTTTTCGTACAGTAAGACGAGGGCTTGTTAACAGATGAACACCTCTTAGGTACAATGCCCTTAGTGAAACACTCAGATTGCTGGGCCAACTGTACCTCCATGCAATGTTACTGACAAAAGGAAATTATTTTTGCTACTTTTGAAGATAATATATATATGCTTGTAATATAACATTGGCCTTGTCGCTAGCTACTATTTACAATGCCAAAAGAGCAGTGTAGACGTTTAGTGTGAAACAAATGTTGAGGTTGGCCTATTGTAAATGGAGTTGATATGTGTACAGAGTAGTGGAAAGAGTATATGAATATATATGTATACATATGTAGATAATGTTATATGCCAGTGGTGATGCGTATTGTGTACATGCATGAAGTACTAGTGTCGCCCTTCCTGTTTTGATCAAAACAACCGTGTTCCCACCTAGAAGCTCTATATTAAATACCATCTTGTGTTGTTTCCTGCCCTCGTAGGAGTGAGCCATTGATGTACGTTGGTAGATCTTCACTGGTGTCAACATTTTCGTTTTAAGTACATGTAGTCGTGTATACTGAATGTTTGTAAAAACAAACAGGGCCTTTCATTTTTTGTTTGATTTGTTTTCTAGGATTATGAAAAATGTTTTTGACTTTAATGTGTTTACCAATTTCCTGTTTTTGAATTTATTTTTAATAACTATATCATGGTTGTTGTTTATGGAATGTGTTAACTATACTGAGATGACTGAAAATACTTAAGGCTTGAAGGAAAGCTCATTGGATTCATCATTTTTGCTGACTGAACAAAACTGTGAGCGCAAATGGTCTGTTATTGTTTGGGAAAATAGTTTTGATAGATGTTTATAGATTTTGAAGATTGAAGAACAATGTCTTCCATGAACTATTTTGCAGAAAAGTTAAATGACATGTCAGTAAGGGCGATCTCATTAAATTCAGATGTTGTATTCCTCCGAAACTTTACTTCTTTGGGTTAAGATCTGAGGACGCTGACATGGAAGGTTGTGTAAGGTGAAACCTGAACGAACTTTGACTGCCCAGTCTAAAAGAAGGGTTAGTGGGTTCTTGACCCAGTCAGCTGACAGCTTTCTAAAAGGATTCTGCATCATCTTTTAATACATCTTGATTCGGAAAATGAGATTTGTATAAACTCGCAGCACACAACTATACTTTCATGGTACTCCCTTTGGGTGTAGATACCACGGCTCTCCGAAATGACATGGTATGAAATATGTATATGAAATGTAATACGGCTCTATCCTTTCTACTTTCGGAACTTGTCGTTTGAAACTTTCAGAAATCTGATATTCTAGTTTGAATGCCTCGTACTGAGGATCCCTGAGAAGACTCCACACTGTTGCTGACCAGTCAATCAGAATGTTCACTTGGCGCTACCTAGTAGAGATGTGTCCTCAGATCTTTGTGCAGAGTGGTATCGTATCAGAGTAAAAGATCTGATTTAAACGAGAGTGAGTGAAGGCATTTGTCAACTGTTGATTTACTGTTATGTAGTGTCAAAACTTCATGTGTTGGTACATGCCATTGTCGTTTTATGACTTGCATGGAAAATTTGCTTGCACCTTCATTACCCTCAAAAACTTAATAACTACGTGCCATATTACTGTTGATCCAGTTACACAGTTTCATTTATTTGGGTTTCTATATTTCAATATCAGCTGAGTGTGGAATCATCCAGAAGATGGCCCAGTATTATTAAGTAGTAGGTTGTTTTTATTTACCTGATGGGTTGCACCAGTTGTTGAGGAGGGCATGTGTAAAACACTATACGGATATGTTACCTTGGGTAGGCCAGTGGGAGAGTTGCATCCCTTGTCCATGCCAGGATCTGCTGGTTTGTTGATTTGAATCCCAAATTTGCCCAGATTGTGATCATATTCTATCCCCACCAGTGTTAGGTTCCACAATACTTGTAATGGCCTAGGGGGCGGTCGGGTAGCCTAGTGGTTAAAGCGTTCGCTCGTCACGCCGAAGACCCGGGTTCAATTCCCGACTTTGGTACAATGTGTGAAGCCCATTTCTGGTGTCCCCCACCCTGATATTGCTGGAATATTGCTAAAAGCGGCGTAAAACCATACTCACTCACTGTAATGGCCTACCACCAGCTAAACATTCAGCTTTTCTTCACATTGGGCTCAGAGGCAATGCAGTATTTGACATACTGTTCAAAGCAGCATCAAACCTAATCCCTCACTCACTTTACCTTACTCCCAATGAACTCTTTCTTCTGTTGCTGTATTTATTTACCTATGACCACCCTCTTTTGTTGTTTATATCTACTGTGTATCTCATATTTACGTTTATTGATGTTTATTGATGTCGCATGTTTATCATGTCTCAGTATGGAATTGTAAATAGCCCCTGTTTGGCTTGTGTTGATCATAACCATTTTCTGCTTCTAGAGGCTTACATATTTATTTTGCGCAGTTACATGTATATAAAAGCTTTGCTTTTACTACTAAACCATTAATATTGTAAAATTTCAAGACAACCATTTTTTCTTTGAGTCTAGTGCCCCATGAAAGTATCACACGTTTTTAAGATTTTCCGAAAATGTTGAGTGATGCATATCTTATTCTAATTGTAAGGCTATTGGGTGGGAAATGTATTGTGTATTGTGAGAAATATATGGTTCTTGTTTGGGGAAAAGATATTCTTAAAAGAATATTTAAATTAATATCAAACTGATATACCACTAGCATTCTTGGTATCACTGCACAAACATATCATAGGCCCTGTACCACAAACACACGACTGGCATCTGTCATTATAGTGCACTGTAATCTCTCTAGAGAGGCGGGCGTATATTTGAGAGATTATGGTAACTGCTATCATATATATTTATATATATAAATGTATGTATCTGAAATTATCTACCTGAATAATCAGAGGTGTACAATATTCTATCATAACCCAAAACTTTTTCTTTTTTTTTGACGAAAAGGGAATTATGAAAAACACCCTGCCACTGGAAACATTCAAAATATCACATTTCGGAAAGATTCTCTTTTTGTACCTGTTTCTAAAAACTGTTGGATAGCAATTCAAATGGTGCTCTGAAGTTTCCAGTCCAAAAATGCTGATGGTAATGTAAGCTCACTGGGTCTCAAGGTTCTGAAAATACAACGCTATGATGCTGAAACAATGCAAAGACGGTCACAGCAATGTCCTGTTCAAATAATGCTACCACAATTACAAATGTAAAACATGAATATTTGGGTCCCAATATGACTTTCAGCCTCCCATTACTTCTATTGGGCAGAAAGAAAGCTGTTGCTTGTGTTATTTCTGTTAAGTAGAAACAAGACCATAGTGTGTGTACTTTGAGTTTCCTTCCTCTGTGGCCTGTTTCATTTTGATTTCACATTATTTTGAAATTTCATATTAAATGTTGCACAGAATGGGGTGGACTACAGAGCCTTATGGCTTAACTGTTCGATTAAAAATCATTGTCAGGTAATGATAGATTATGAGACCAGCCATGTTGTCTTTTGTTTTGAACAACAAGATTTATTTTTTTAACAGGCTTATCTGAAGGTTATTATACATAATAGTTAAATATCCCTGCTGTCATGAAGGAGTTCATTTTTCTATAAAAAATATTAAGATTTTCTTGAGCCAAATATGTTCTTTTCTTCAAATCGACCTCCCAGGAGATAAAATGGTCTGCTTCTTATCTGTTGCGGTTAAGACCATCATCGTCTTCATAACTTGTTACTGTTTTTTGTTATTGGCATGTTTCATTCAATTTTAAAAATATGGACTAACTCATTTTCAATTTAATATTCTCTGTGAAATTTCGCTGTTTGAATTGCATGCAATATTAATAATGAAATGATTGTTTTTGTTCATGTATCATTTTCTATACAAAAAAGAACATATGTTAGTCTTGTTATGCTTAGTAGCTCTGAATTGTGTGAACTTTTTATGAATGAAGTAATGAAATAGACTACAGTGTTTGAGCTGCATGCGAGATTGAACATGTGACAGGGATCTTTCTTAGGCTAGGCTTTTTTCAAAAATTTGTTTTCGAATCCACTGACTCCCAAAAATATGAAACATGGAAAAAAACATTTTGGTTTTCTTTTTGCTGAACAGTAAGTAAAATGTTAAAAAACCCAACCTTATTTTCTGTCGCTATAAATTAAATATATTATCTAAAATATTATTATTAAAACCATTTGCAAATATATTTAAAAAACTCACACCACTTAATTACCAGCTGTTTAAACTAAATGAATCCCTACTTACTTAATATTTTGAGGAAATATTTGAAATTATATATTTTTAAATTTTATTTTTTTATGTATTGACCTGAAGTTTTGGGGTACAAAATCTGTAACCCCACTCCCACCCCCACCCCCACCCCCACCCCCCAAAAAGAGTCTGGCCTAAAGATGATCCCCTGTGGAAGGCCAGGATGTTTTTAAATGAATTCCTTGTGTTAACTGATAAGAAGCTGTAACATTAGTGCTGAAGATGATGGGCATCTGTGGAGAAACTGGGCTCACTGGTCACTGTGTGTTTGGCCAGAACTTCAACTATCTGCATGTTGTTCTTCATTGCTATGCCTGTGAATTCAGAAACACAATGAAGTGTATTGGTTCAAATGGAAACGCCAAAGTCAAAACCATACATTGTTATGAATACTGCAATGAATTTTATTTTGTTGATATCAGACTGTTTTATAAGTCATTTTGACTAGATGAAATTAATGAGATTGGATATTGGGTGATTTATCTAAAACAAACCTGAAATGTTTTTATACTGTGTTTACCTCAGTCTGGCTGGCTTGCTTCAAGCAGGTACTTGTAATTCTGGGTGTTCTATTTTGTAAGGGGAGACTACTCTGTCAGTTCTTCACCATCCCTATAGATGTGTTGTATATTTGTACATACTAGTATAGCCATTAAGAGTGACTGATTCAATGTTTTGACTTTTCTAAGCAATGTAATTTTCTATACATGATTATCCCCATTAACATGAGGTGATGGGTGTATAATGCATATTTTCTCTGATAATTTTAATATAAACAAAATAAAAAAGTTACACATCATTTTACATTCTTCTTGTTCTTTGAGAGTGAGATGGCTCATTCTTTGATTGTGAGTGTGACAGTGGACAAGGATGTTGTGTATGTGTAAATGTTAATTAAGGGGCAGTTGAGTTGCCTTGTGTTGGTTGGTCATGCCATAAAACCAGGATTCATTTTCAACATAGGTGCAGTGTGTAAGGATGTGTAGTCTCAATATTACTTGTATAGGTTGAGAAATACCATTCTCACTCATGTTAGTTTAGGGACAATAAGGGTTTGTGTCTGAGTGGCTGCATGTACCAGTCCGGACTAATTCCAGTTTTGTAGTGCTGGTGCCAATTGTTGGCGCCTTTAGTATGGCCTGGGTAACCAGCGACCTGCATTCCGGGCAGACTCTAGCGACCATTGGTTAAGAGCATGAGCAGTGATACACACCATCAGTGCACAATTGCATACCTTTATACAGTTCACCTCTTATAATCATTCGGGGGGTAGCCTAGTGGTTAAAGCGTTCGCTCGTCCCAGGTTCGATTCCCCACATGGATACAATGTGTCAAGCCAATTTCTGGTGTCCCCTGTCGTGATATTGCTGAAATATTGCATAAAAGCGACCTAAAACTATACTCACTCACTCACTCTTATAACCTGTCAGTCCCCATTTTAGATATCTCTACAACTTGAATTATTCAGCTCCCAGTCAGATCTTATACTTACCTGGCAATAGTTAAACATACTTGAGGTAACTCTGAAGATGGGGTGGTGTTGGAGGGTTAATTATACCAAGACTTAATTCTCCAAGTATTGGTACATATACTGCAACCATATGTACAGTGTATGTTGCAAAATGTTCCCTTTTTCTGACTTAGGTTGAAATATCAAGAGAACTTTATTTTATGGCGGATGAGAGTATAAAAAGCGAACACAAATCTTTCTTGTTCAACGGAGAGCAGGGTACTTGCATTCAGTTTGCAAAAACAGACAAACCAGTGAATGATATTGCGAGCAACGATCTACGTCAACTGGGTACGATGACATGTGGTGCCCAGCAATATTCTGGCTATATGACAGTAGTGTGTAAATAATCGAGTCTGGAGCAGACAATCCAGTGATTGACATCATGAACATGGATCTATGCAATTGGGATATGACATGCATCAAACACAGAAGCCAGAACACCCGCTCCGTTAGACATCTTACGTTTTTTGTTTGTTTCTTGTTTAAGGCAGTACTCGGCAATATTCCAGCTAAATGAGGCAGTCTGTAAATAATCGAGTCTGGACCAGACAATCCAGTGATTTACATCATGAACATAGATGTAGCAATTGGGATCGATGACATGCATCAACCAACTCAGCGATCCTGACCAACCGATCCGTTAGTCGCCTCTTACGACAATCATAGTCGCCTTTTACGACAAGCATGGGTTACTGAAGACCTATTCTACCCCGGATATTAGACGTCTTACGACAAGCAGGGGTCACTGGATACCAGTTCTAACCTGGATCTTCTCGGGGGTATCAAGTACGTCACGCTCCACGTGGTTTACGAAAACCCGCTAAATAAAGTCCCATACAACTCAGACATGTGTGATTTATTAGACTCGCGCTTTGTCTGAATATATATGATTTTGATAGAATCAAGAAACTCCATTGAAGATAATGGAGCCGCAGGGAGATGACTGATCCTGAACACGTGGAAGACCTTGCTTACTTCATTTAGGGCTATAGCATTACAGTTAGGGCTGGGCGGAAGGGATTTTTCATATGGTTTAAGAACTGTCAGGCAGACCATGTGATCCATCGGCGTGAAGAAGGCTTGGGAACACAAGATTTCATAACCTGTTGTATGGGGCTAGAAGGTCTTTTACGACACTTCAAACAGAGCTGATCAAAATTATGCTTGAATCCTTCTTGAATGTTAGAAGTGCACGTGGCTATACTAGCCAGTGGTTTAGCACTAGCCATGACTTATATACACGATGTACTGGTAACGTTGCTCATTTCATCCAAATGCAGCTCTCGGACACACGACAGATTGCGGGAAAATACGAGTTGCCTCCCTTTGACCTTATACTGATGTTAGGCGATCAGTGTATTGGCTGGCGCAGGTCTGTTTAAGCCTATTATCACACGTTAATCAAAGCCCACTGTCACTTGTTCCACGGACATTATGAAAATCAAAAATATTATTTTCCATGCTTATGATATATGTTTCAACTGCAAGCGAACTGACAGTGATAATATAAGGCTTACACAACAGAACATTTGCATGAATGATAGCCGATTTCAAGGGCGACAACTCGTCGTTTGATATCATTTGATAACAATATGTCAGACATGGGACACCTCTGCTACATAATGACGTACATGAATACACACGCAAAACAAAGAGCCATAGTGAAATAAATCGGTACGTTATTTTCTGTCGTATATTAATAATATAAAAATATAGTAATATACTATTGTTGACGGTGAAGACAGCTGAGTGAAAATCCAGATTAGTTTCGTCTTCGGCAACCCATGATTGTCGTAAGGAGCGACCAACGGGATCGGGTGGTCAGGCTCGCTGACTTGGTTGATGCGTGTCATCGTATCCCAAGTCCAGCGTAGACCGATGCTCGTGCTGTGATGGTCTGGGCCAGACTCCATTATTTACAGACCGCCGTTATATAGCTGGAATATTGCTGAGTGCGGCCAACAAACAAACCGTTAAGGAATTTCGGCTCTAAAGCAACTTCCGAAATCAGGGTGTGACAGCTGTGTCCCTTGTATATACAAGATTATCTATGGAGAAATATAGTTCTCTTAGACTGGTCACATGGTGTCGCTATCGTGAGACGTTTGAGTGAGTGAGTGAGTGAGTTGGGTTTAACGCCGCTTTTAACAATATTCCAGTTATATCGCGGCGTGTCAGCTTAATGTGGGAGGAAAGCCCGAAGTGATGCAGGTCTCAGACGTTTACCACTTCGGGGAAACCCACGAGCACGGGTATGGTGTTGACAAACCTAGAAACATAATCGGGGCGAACCGGGATTCGAACCCACAATCATAGGTTTCTGGCATGCCCAAGGGACGCAACTCTGCACAGCGAATCGCGGGGCCTTAGACGACTGGGCCACCCGTGCCCCCGTGAGACGTTTGAAATAAAAAAACAAACATGTTACAATGCATGTTTATCAAATATCACAACAAGCGAACGTAATAAAACACGAGGAGACGAATCCGCGAGCAATAAATGATTGGGAATCGAAGTCTGTTCATTGCTACATGGATTAAGAACTCCTAATTACGTCGACGCTCATTATCAGCGCTCGTTGTGATATCACTGAACTCCCCACAGTGCCCTCCGGGTAACCGGTGCCAGAATCCTTTCATAACTTACGGCCAGGTGCAAGCAAGACGTCGGTATGGCATTGCCAGGAAATTGCAACTTCACTTCTTGAAAATAATTTACACGGGAACAGCGCGGTGGGCCCCCTCGTTATTAAAGTAACTTTTGACACTAATTGACGTCTGGCGCGTGCAATGACGTCACGCAACACGATATGAGTTTTATCAGTGTGTTGATAATACTTATTAAATATGTCGCTTCGTAAGTGTGAAAGTTCTCGCCAGCGACCATGACGGTACATTACCCCGCAGCTCTCCTGACCGGGCTTGAGATATGGCATGGCTCCCAGTTGTCGCCCCCGGAATGTTGAGGGATAAGAGGGTGTGTGTGTGTGTGCTTGCGTTGAAGCTCATCACTTAAATTTAATGTTTTTATTGGTGTTTATTGATGAATATTGCTTGACGAGCATATTATAAGCATAATTCATATCTCCATGACACCCCTCTTATCTCATATATATCGTCGCCCACTCAGCTGCCACGTATGAATGGAATACAGAAATGCGGAAAAGATAAGGGCGTTGTTCATGGAGGTTATAAGTCTGAAGTAATTATGAATTGTAATTAACATGTTGTCTGTACAATATAACAGACCTGACCATGAGCACTATCACAAGACTAAATAATACACAACATCCCGAACAGAAAAAAACCCTACCGTATGCTCTAAAAAAACCCCATGAAATATATATTAAAAGAATTATTACTGAACAAGATCCTACTAATCTTAACACTGTAAAATAATTAAATAAATACATCACACAAGACGAAGATTAGAAATCGGAAGATTAAATAAGATCTTTCCGCGTGGAATAACTCGAAATCTCCATGTATTTTATAGAGATGCAGATTGCTGACATTTTGAATTTGTATTGGTTTCATGCACAGTGTATACCTCATAAACTAGGGAGCAAATACATGATCAGGATGGAAGTTATTTGATCTTGATCCGGGTAGAAATTGTACAAATATTTCAACATGGCAAAGGTAGAAATTATACATAACGGGACAAATTATACAAACATTTCCACATGATCTGGGTAGAAATTAAACATAATGTTTGATCAAAACCAGGGTAGAAATAATACATAACATGTGATCAATATCAAGGTAGAAATTAAACATAACGTTTGATCATGATAAGGGTAGAAATTATACATTACCGTTGATCATGACCAGCGTAGAAATTATACATTAAGTTTGATCATGATCAGGGTAGAAATTATACATTACGTTTGATCATGATCAGGGTAGAAATAAACAATGTTTGATTATAATCAGGGTAGAAATTATACCCGAGGCGTATTGTGCATTTCATCTGGGAACTATATGTCACACTTCGCAGCCGCTTCTTGTAGACACACCAGTGACACACCGGCAACACACCAATGTCTCACCAATGTCTCACCAATTACTCACTACTGACACACTAATGGCACACCAATGTCATAGCAGTGACACACCAGTTACACACCAGCAACACACTAATGTCTCACCAATTACTCACTACTGACACACTAATGACACACCAATGTCATAGCAGTGACACACCAGCGACAGACCAGCGACACACCAATGTCTCACCAATTACTCACTACTGACACACTAATGGCACACCGATGTCATAGCAGT